TTGCATTAGTTACTTAAAAAGAAATATTGGAAATCATTTTAATTTCTTGTACGTCCTCATTGATATGTAATTCTTGTTAAATATTTGCCATTAAATTAAAATAATGTGTTTTTGTGGTAAATGCGACAGATTTGAACAGAGTTGCAATTTTCCGAGTTTGTCTACTAATTTCTGCAGCCTGTATATAGTGTCTCCAACAATATTTTTTCTTGATATATGTTGGAGATTTGTTCACAACATACTTGATAAAGTCAGAAATGTTATAAAATAATGAATAAAAAGTAGTTGCCACTAGTATCGTATGTGATTGTATTGCAAATTCTAATTATACTTATTCTGAGGATTATTACAGTAAAATCTCAAATCATCTCACGTAACATATGTAAACACAGATGTGACTGGCCACATGACAATGCGATTAATTTTGAATATAGGTATACTATTCTTATTTACGTATAAATAAATATAAATAACAGTGAAAAATGAAAAAGAATTAGAAAATAAAGAGGAAGTTGTTGACTGTTTAAAGACCAAGCAAAGAACCTTCATAATTCAGCCTACTTGATATACGTTCTGAGTTCATTCTATGCTAACTTTGCTTTTATTTGATTGAAATTACACTTTTTTCGTAGCTAACTTTGTCAGTTTTATATCACACAATCGTGATTTTTGCTGAGATCATAGAAATGCTTGAAATCGCCGGAATCTATCACGGAGTACATCCGTATAAAGCACATTTACGCCCAACATTCTCAAAAACTTTCTCATGAAATTAAGCCCAAAATTTGTAAAGTTACCTGTGAAAATTAATAAACAAGTATTTTCTACGACGATACGGAATGACAATTGCATATTATATTTGTCCTTTCTTTATCACACAGTTCAGCATAGAAGTGTAATCCCATTAGATCGACTAACATGAGTTAATTCCACAGTATGGTGGTTAATACAGAACCGTTATATAGCGGAATATAATTAATGCAAAGATTTTGAGTAAAATTATATAAACTTGAATATTGCCCTTATAAACTGATATGATGCATGCTGCGCGTATATTAGAATTGGTTCAGAATTTTAAAGTCAACTATCCTTTTTTCTGTTTCCATCGGAATCTTAGACATTCTATAATATAAAGAACTCGAACATTTTACATATATTTTTATATTGTGAATGCTGCATTACTCATGCTTAGGTTATAATATATATATATAATATATACAAATACTTTAGATAATAATAATATATAGGTAACCAAGATTCGCCTTGAAGCGAATGTAGTTTTGTTTATTTCTACCACGTGTAAAGTATTCATTTCTAAAACATTAACTAGAAATCACTAAATTAAGTTGACAGCACTAAATTAACATCACTGAGTATTTTCTTCTGGAGGAAAAATGGGTGGAAAACCTAAGCAGACACCACGCACTAAAAACAATGTAAAGGTAGGATTTCAAAATCAATTTATTTTACGAACAACCAGCAATAAATTTATGTATACTTTTCAGCCTTCAAGTAGCAGCCGCAGTGCAGAACTGTTGGGTACTGCCCCAACTTTTGTAGGATTTTCTGCTCATTCAGATTTCGGTCTGATACCATTTGCTCCTGGATTTGCCACTGCCGAATTGCCGGATACATTCGATGCCAGTATAACACCTCAGTACCAATTGATACTAAAAAAAATGTCGAAAAAAGATTCCATGACTAAGAAGAAGGCTTTACAAGAGTTCATTAATTTAATCAGCCATTCTGAACTCGAAGAAATGAAGACTATATTACCATTATGGCCTAAATTTTATCATAACCTTGCCAGCGATCCGGAGCATAACGTAAGAGAACTAACTCAAACTGTGTTGCACCTGCTGGTGTCGAAGTGCAAAAAAACGATCGCACCATACTTAAAGCAATTAATACCTGTGTGGTTGGCCAGTCATTTTGACAATTACGCACCAGCAGCCAGCATTGCAAGTACATGTTTTACTGAAACATTCACAAATCGTATCCGAGAAGTATGTTTGCATTGCCGATACGAGATTGTAGACTATGCTATTCGAAACTTGACATTTCATACGCCCGCGACACTGTCACCGGGAAAGAATCTAACATCTGAAGAAGCAGAACAAAAATTCCAACGAATTGTAATATGTAGTTTAAAAGAGCTCTCATTCTTCGTTGAGCATACAGCTGGCAGTGACGAACAAAAACAAATCCAAGAGTCTTTACAAAAATTGCTATCGCATCAAAAGTTTTGGAGTTTCGCTAAAAATAAACTAAATGCAATCAAGTAAGTATACAGTCGAATTCCGTCTAGAATCATAAAGTTTCCGAGCTTTCAATTTATAGAGCTGCTTGGTTTGAGTTTATGTATAATATGGTTATGTACCATGCCGACGCGGTATCTCCTCAAAAAAACCAACTTATAATGCTGTCGTTTCAAAATATCGATGAATCTGATCCTCTAGTGGCTCCTCATATATGGGGCTGTGTTTTATTGCTACAAACTAATTATAAGGATTGGTAAGATAATTTTATAACTGGCTTGGCGAATACTAAATCGTTGTTACACCATATTAGGCATCAAACTATTGATTTCAATAAAATGATTTGGCCAAAATTCTGTTCACTTTTACGTAACAAGTTCAACCGTAACGCTCGAGCGATTTGCCCTAATTTATTACCCTTTTTTTCGCAACTTTCACAAATTGTTGAGGATGAAACCGAATGTCACTGTTTGATTAAACAGTTCTCTGATAACTTAAAGAATATTATTACTACAAACGACTTGAACATATCGAAGTCCGACAATATTGTTACGATAAAAACCTATTTTGAATGTATCCGTTATTTTATACAAAAACTTATCGAGAACGAGCCTATGTCGCCGGAAGCTGCTAAATTTGCGTTAATATTGTTAGAAGATAATGTTATAGATCTTCTAAAGTGGTGTTTAAGTACAACGAATCCCTTAACAGCAAAACAATGCTTTCAGCACATCGCAACTTTAATGGCATTTTTTGATAAGCAGGTGATCAGCTATAATCCATATGAGCAATTGTTAAATCAATTTTGGAATTGTTTGTTCGTAATAACCTCTGAGGATTTCTTTAGAGAGGATGTAAATGAGTTCACTTTGGAGCGTGTTTTAGAATTGTTTAAAGATCTCTGCTTGGCTAATCCTACTTTGGAAGAGCATAAAGTTAAGTTCATTAAAAATGAACAGAATTGCGAAGACGTTGCTGATAAAGAGATAACATACCGAGAAAATATGGAAAAGGCTGAAAGGGACGGCAAGTTGAAACAAGGCTACAGTGCAGCTAGTTTTATTAACACCAAACTGAAACGGATCGTCGTGCATTTTTTTGCAGCTTGTTTGCGGAATATACTACAATTTTCTTCGTGCAAATATATTAAATATTTACGTGTCATCATTGCTATATTTAACGATGAAGAGTTCTTTAGCCGCGTCACTGATAAGGGTACCTTAGATGCTACCTTAAGCCACATATTTGCGATTTTAGAGAGAGTGATCACAATAGATCATGACAATAAGTCCTTGGAAATTTTAGTAGAAATTATTTTTGAAATTTTGAAAAAGCACGAAAAAGTGAAACGTTTCGAATTTATTGAAAACAAATTAATGAAGTTATCTCACGGAGTCACGCTAACGTTAGTGTTACAATGTCTACTTTCCCATCCTTGGTGTACTGAACCAGAGGTACGAGACATACTTGCCCAACCGGAAACCATTACATTCATATCTCAATTGGCTAATGAAGTTGTACAAAACAATTCCAAAGATTTATATAATCTCTTACATAAGTGTTTTTTTCAAACGGAATGCGGAGATATTTTAATCTCGTTGAAGACTGTTGACAATATATTAAATACATTGGCCGATGCTTTATCTAAACAAAATTGTGACAAGAAATGCTCCACGGATTTGGACGCTTGTGGCACTTTTATAGCCCAAATTATGCCAGTAGTTTGTAACAATAGAAATTCGAGTCGTGATGTGCAGCAAACGGTCTTCCTAAAGTTGTTCGGCTTTACTATTGAGCATTGTATATCAAATGACGATAATATATCGGAGGATACCATATGGGAAATCACCACCTGCTGGCAAGATGCCTTATGCAGTGAAGATGTGTCTTTGGATGATAAATTATTAAAAGCTTGCGTTGAAATAGTCAATCGACAAATACCATGTGAATATACTAACATTAACATTATTGATTCGTTGGCCGAAGTTTTATCAAAATTTGTTTTGTGTTCTACTGAGAGTGTACCAGAAGAAGATGGCCAGCGTTTGCAACGTATTGATGAAATTTTTAAAGAACTTCTAGCGATTGATCGCGAAGCAGTAGAAGAACTTTTAAATACCACTCTTTTTGCTGAAGCCGTTACAAGTAGCGCAACTCCAATTTATGGGTTTAAAGGAAATTATTGTAAAGTTGTTGATATGGAAAGGATTCTACAGAAAGCATTATTAAATTTTTCCACATTATTTAAATTATTATGTAAAAGTAATACTAATGAACAAACGGCTAACAAAGGACTAATGCCGTTAGTAAATAATGCCAGGGAGATTATTCAGGAGGAAAAAAATACCGAAGATTATTGTGATCCTAATGAGAATGTACTTAAAATTTGTTCTAATTTTTTAATAAGCGAATTAATTCAATACACTAATATATCGGCTGCAGCGGATGTTTTGATTAACCAGGTAAGGAGTTGTTTTATCTTCTGTAAGTTTTATTCAAACATTTTATTTAATTGCAGCAATTGCTTACAGATCCAGTGCATACTTTAGCACTTGAACTATCAGAAAAAGTGAAACTTTTGTTGAGTAAAGTTCATCAATTAGGGATACGATTTCGAAAGCAATTACTTATTAAGTGTTCCCAAGAACTCGATTTGAGCTATTGTAGGTGCCTTTTGTATTTAATGTACATTGACGAATACACTGAATACGAAGAAAATGCCATGATCGTAATATTTGAAGAGCTGAGTGAACATTTCGTAACCAACAATCATTTAAACATCTATATAAACATTTTGCAGTATTTTTTGCCGAAATTACAATTCAGATCATTTGGGATGGATAATCCAATAATGAATACCGAACCAAGTCAAATATGGATAAAAGCTGTTGTATTTCGATGTTTATTACGAAATAATTTCGGCGACACATTTAACAAAACTGATGATAAAGGAATGATAAAATTAGCCGAGCAATTTATAACAGAACACGCTGAAAAATTACATACACAGAAAGAATTTTTATCATATCAATGGTGAGTCTTAAGTTAGGTAGTTTCAATAAAGTTATCAAAGTTTTGTATGGTATTGCAGTGAAATAAACAAACAAAAAATCGATAACGTGCTAAACGCTGTTGAATATATGAACTTACTTATTGAACTTTTGGAAAAAGCACCATACGAATTATCGATAAAGAGCTGGGATATTATACGCATCGGTTTGGGTCATTGGATCCTAAGTGTAACGAAAACTTTGGATAATGCTCAAGAGAAACTTGATCAAATGGTTCGCTGGAATTGAAAATAATTATGTATATCTTACTCAACTATTCTTTTTAGACTTTATACTTTACAATTCATGTGTTCAAATTATTTGCCGCTCTAACAGAGTTCTTTAGCAAGGAAAAACAGAAAAGCTCCACGCAATTAATTAAAAAGGTCTACGATGAATGGTTACAAGTCTTCGCTAAAGATGTTTATTTAACGTTATTTAAGACCTACTATCGCTTATGTGAACACGAAGGTATTGAAAAGCCAGTATATCTGATAAAACTCTCATTATTAATAACCTGCTTTTTGAAATTAGATATTGTCGAAAAATTTGTCGATTGTTGGTCAATGTTCTTAAATGCTTTAACGCACACGATGGATTTTATGGATTATGGTGTAGTATATATGGTGAGTATGGAGACGTGAATTGATTATGTAAGAATATTTATAAATACATACGTTTAACATTGCAGTTCTGCAAATCTTCGAAAGTTTTCTCCCTTGATCATGTTAGCAATTTCCTGCTTAAAAATCTGTCGAATCCGTTGCATTCAATGAGAACAGCGAGTATGTTCATGATGTGGCAGTTTACACAATATTTTGTAGCCGATGATACAGACACATTCGATCACAAAAGTGCACAGTTAGAAAAAGTGGAGCAAACGAACGTGGCCAGCTGGCATTTCTTAAATCGTTTTGAAGATTATCTGGAACGATACGACATGGCGATACAAAAGTACCTTAAAGAATTCAGGTATACGTTTTGGTCGCTTTTCATTGTTAAGGCAACACTTAAAAGATTACCTTTGTAGTTTTAAATTAACTGAAATTGCCAAAATGGAGCCTATAAATCATCAGGAAGCCTTTAGCTATTTAATGCTTTGGAATTGTGTCATTTTTGCTTGCGTTAAAGCCCCGGTAGCTTTGCGCTCGGTCTATACTGCATGGTTATGCGGAAACAAATACAAGGAGGTACTTATGAAATTTTTTGATGTTATCGAAAATAAAGATTTACAGTACGTAAATTGCAATCGTCTGCCAATATATTTATTGACTAATATCCACATTGTTAGCATAATATACGAAAAATATGGAATGAATATTGAGTAGCTGCTTTTGAACATTTTCTTAGATTGCATATTAGATTGTTGTCGGAATAAGATTAAATGTCCTATAATTTTCTCCCGATCAACGCCTAATAAAACTAGCATAATTTAAAAATTGCTCGCTGATGGTCATTATTTAATAGAAGAACCGAATGTACTATTCAATTTTAACAGCAGTTAATACGAAGTAGCTAAGACACTTCGGGTTTGAATGGAATACATATACATATACATATACAGTTTCTTTACAATAAATGAGACGACAAAATTATGTACTAAATTTTTTGTCTTTTTTTCTTCTAGAATTTGTTACACTTTTTATTCCGTGCTATGCCAGTGGAAATCCTTAAAAATCACAGCACAAAGCAAATGAACAATGAGATTTTCAAAGCTCTATCTTGGTCACAAATTAAAGGTAAGTTATTCAGCTTCGGCCTGCTCAGCCCCCTCAGTCTTGAGAGTTTTCTCCGTTTCGCCTTCAACGGCTTCGCTAGGCATTGTTGGGGGATTCTTTACCGAATAAAATTCTTCATTTTCGTCATCCATGAACTCATCAGAAGCACTAGAATATGATATATAATCACCAACAGGCAAAAAGTTTTGCAATGCTTGAGAAGGTTTATCGGAATATTGCTGACGTCTCGAGTCTGCAAAGGGCTGGTCTCGCTGTGGGCTGGCCGGGGCTTGCGCCACATGTATATTGAGATTAGAAATGAATTTATTAATCCAAACAGCTAAATTGAAAGCCAATATTTTTTGGTACTCCCGCAAGTTGCTCGTGGTATAAAATTCTTTGTCTGGTGAAAAATTAAAATTATAAAATTTTCACAAAAAATTCTGAAAAATTAAGAACTTTGAGAACAAAAATTCGAAAAAAAAAACCTCATAGAAAATAAACAAAAAATTTTGAAAGGAAGAAAAAAGGTTATGAAGGAATCTTTTGAAAAATCTTTCAACATATGTGTTCGAGGATCGTTTTTTAACAGATTTATGTACCTTGTTTTGAATTTACCTGTAAATTCCCTTATTGTTTCTAGTATAACGGCTACTAATGTTGAACGTTCGTCCATTATAAATTGATCGTTTAGTAAAAAGTCTTTCATTTCCTCGAATAGAACGCATATAATCTTTTTAATTTGACTTCTTTGCTTGTTGGCAATTTTCTTTGACAATTTCTTACAGCGTTGCTTGTTCAGACGTTTAGCGACCAATGTTAGACGTCTCTCCTCCTCCAACCAGGCCAACGCAGTATTTATGTCTGTGTATTCGACGTCGGGTTTCTTTTTTAGATGCTGTTGTAGGGAATTAAGATGGCGTTTTTTTAAAAGATGCTGGAATTTTGATAAAGTTTCCTTGACTCGTGCTTGGTCGGGAGCGGCTAATTTATTTATACGCGCAGTGCAGTTTGGTACAATAGCCTTTTTTTCATAGTAACGGGGCATTTTACGGGGGGCTGCAAAATTAGCTTTCGGTGTTGATAAATAGACAAGGTGTTCTTCTTGAGTGAGGACATCTCGATCGATTATTATATTGCCGGAATGTTGACATAGATATTGGGGATTATAACGGGGACAAACGCAATAGTATTTGTAAGAATAGCGCTGTGGTCGTTTTTTGGGCTTCTCATAAAGCGGCCCAATATCTTTACACTTAATTTGACGTTCGTCGATCAATGCACTACGAGCCTGAATCTCATCAAGAACGGTATGCGCATATTTTGGCGGTTCAGGTATAACAAGATCACTTGGAATTTTGTGGAAATTAATAGCCATTTCCTTTTTTTATTAATCTACAAAATTTCACTGCCAGCTATTAATAAAAAAAATGTCGGTACGATAGATATACAAAATTTTTGCAATACAACTCAAAATTTTGATCTTAACCTTATAAAAGATAGTGATTTTTCATTCTTTTTTTTAAATGAACACTTCGAAAATTGACAAGTTTTCAAAATTGAATGAGTGCTTTCTATTTTTTCTTCTATTTATATATCGTATATGTCTCAGCTTATATATGTGTATTTCAGATCCAAAATTATCTTTGGAAAGATATGTTTGCCACTTTTATACGGAGTTTTTAAGCAAACTACCGGCTGTGGTGCGTAAATGGTGGAATACTTGTCCCTCACGTCAAAAAACATTCGTCGATATATTAACAACAAATTTCGTGTCGCCGTTAATTTGTACGTACGAATTAACGGCTATTGCGGACAAAAAGGAAAAACATGAAAATATGCAGGCTAGTGAAGGAAAGTGAACATAGCCAGGTTTATATATAATTTTTTACGTTTCTTAGGTCACTGTTCACACTTCAACGCGCGAAGTGTCGGCTGTTTACTCAATTGACGAAGCCAGGATGGAACTAGTGATAACTCTAGCTGCTAATTACCCTTTGGGCTCAGTTAAAGTTGGTGGTAGATCAACATCAAGAAATATAGCCATGCAATTAACTATTTTCCTTACACATCAAGTAAGATAATGTTGTTCTTTTTTACATGTGATAAGAAATTTGCAAACTGCTAAGTTGGCTTTGTATTCATTGACAAAGAAAATCAAATTAAATCAAAGTTAACGTTTTAACTAAATTCAAATTTGCGGGACTTGAGTGACGTTAAACATAATAAAATTGTTTAAGTTCTTGGCTTACCTAAAATCATGAATTCATTAATAGCATTTAATTCGTAAAATAGAAAGTCATGTGAATTCCGATTTATATTTTCCAGCTTTCGATTTGCAAATTCTATTTTTTTAAATTTGTAGCTTCTGGCTTACAAATAAAAATTATATAGTTATTGGCCGCTTGCAAAATGAATAAAATTCTTCCTATACGACATGAAGACACAAGATTTTGTGCATGGGAAATAAAAGAAGAAATACACATCTGAAAACTTGTACAGATATCCATAGAAAGCAGAAAAAGAAATTACAAAAGTTTTCTGAGTGCAACTCACACTTAATCATGCCCAAAATTTGACCTAATGAGAGTATATTATTATTTTAATTTTTTTAAACTAATGTAATAAATTCCCAGACTAAATGAAAAAAAAAATTGATTGCTAGCAACATAGGCTATCGGTACTATTTCAAAAAAGCAAATTAGATATTGAGCGTAGAGTAGTAGTTTAAAGTAAAATAATATGTGAATGTAATAAAGTGTAATTTAAATACTTAATAATATTTTCCAACTTGTATATGGTTTTAGAACGGCACAATATTTGATGGGCTAGCTTTATGGAAAAATAACTTAGATAAAAAATTCGAAGGCGTAGAAGAGTGCTATGTTTGCTACACCGTTATACATCAAGACACATGTCAATTACCGAAATTAACTTGTAAAACTTGTAAAAAGAAATTTCATGGTCCTTGCTTGGTAAGTAGAAATTTGATTATATGAAATGTATATCTGTGCAGTGCGGAAAAAATGCTGCCTTTGTTATGAATTGTTTTAGCAGGCTGGCTAGTTCTATATATATATATACATAGTTCTATTAGATAACTCAGAAATTGAAGTAAAATAGTAAGGCCAAAATTATTTCTTATTCTTTGTACGTCATCTTATTAATAGCGGGTTATAAATTCGTTTTGCTTTTATCGTTGAATTTTAAGTAAATATTTTTTAACTTCAGTTGTGATTGTGTATATTTTCTTTATTTTTTAGTACAAATGGTTTACGACCAGCAATAAATCGACCTGCCCGATATGTCGTAATGTTTTCTAATTCAAGGAATTATCGAATTCGAAAATATATATTAATACTTGTAAAGGCAATTCATATAATTTGAACCGTTTATTTTTGAATTTCAACGATTTCATGTAATAAAATAATAATAAAAAAACTAATCAATAATGATAGGAACATCTATGAAAAGAAAAATTTTGTTTTCAGAAAAAAATAAAACGCAAAGAAAAATATTATGCTTAGTTTTGAAATTTTTGGGTTCGTTTTTGAAAACGTAGTAATTTGGTGAGTATGCGTTACTTTCTTAACTTAGATTCAATGCACTATAATGTATTGTATTAATCGTTTTACGAATATAAGAGTGTTACGCGAAAAATCGAGAGAAGAGTTCAGCATGAAACAAGAGTTAGACTTTTCGCAATTAAGCTGTACTATTATTATTTCTATATATATATATATCTATATTAACGTTACATACTAGCGCGTTACTGTTACGTTTGCAACACTCGGAAATACACAGTAGATACTCATTTAAAAAAGATCATATAGATTTTTTTTCGAAAATCCAACATTTTAATGAATAGCCAGCATAGGGCACTTCGCTATGAATGTTCTTTATTAAATATTCCTGTTGTAATTACTTTTTGTAGAAATTCTTCTTCTAAAATTTGTCTCAAATGTCCGCCTTAAACTTTCCAAAGGTCTACTTCCTGACAACGGAAACGGATCAGTAAATTATAAAACGCGGAGAGTCGCTATATTCTATTCGGACTTTTATACCTTTTTAACACCCGAAATTTTATGAATTATGCTACATTTTGAATTTCTTCGCAAGGTGTTCAATTCTGCCCTTTTTTGAAACGTTTATAGTAACTGTAATTCGTTTTAGTTGCAAATAAAGTTGTCGTGACGTCCACCACAATTAGTTTAGAATTAATACACTTACCTTCAATTTTCCAAATACTTTTATTTCATACCCATATCGATTGTATTATTAAGAAAAAATTAATCCACCAGGTCGTGGTGTCCACCGTATTTATTTTAGAATGAACGCATTTTTAGGCGGATAATACATCTTCATTTGAGAAATGTACAAAATAGTTTTAAACATTCCATCTTGTTTATGATTAATATATATAGCACCTCAAAAAAGGACAAAAAGAAAATTTAATCACAGCATGGTCGATTTTCCTCATTTTTGCACATAAATAGCAGAGTTTCTCGTGAAGTAAATGTGGAAAATTTCGGCCATCCATGTTTTATAATTTGTGAGCGAAAAGCAACAAAAAAAATTCCTGTTTCGAAAAACGGAGCTCAGTTTACGTTTCACTTCGGGCTTATGTTCTGATCAATTTGGACCGTTTTCAATACCAATCTGCGCACAAGAACTTCCAATGTTCTTCCAAAATTTGAAGTCGATATCTTCGTTTTTGAGACGAGAGGAGTGTCAAATATACAGCACCCCAACGGACAGACACGGTTTAATCAATTTCCAATTTCATGCTAACCAAGAATATATATATATATATCCTTCATACGATCTCTAAAGCTCTCTTTTGGGCGTTGCGAACAACACGAGGAAATGAGTATGAATGAGAATACCCTTTTAAGAAAAAGTAGTTTACACAATATAAATAATAAAGAGCGTTTTTATTGATTCTTTTTTTTTTTTTTTTTTTTTTTTTTTTTTTTTTCAAAATACTGTAAAGCGTTTTAAATATACATACGATACATAAGTCTATTAATTGTAATAATCTTTATTAATCAACAACAAACGTTTCGTGTACCGCTGTTAAATTTGGTTTTGTTTTTATTGTAGACATATGTGATTTAAATGTTTTTATTGTACATAATAGGGAAAGCAAACAATATATTTTATTTTACATCTAGAATTCCGCGACTATAGGTCATCATTATTAAAGCAAAATACAAAAAACATAATGACATAGAATTGTAAATGGCGGTTTTTTTTTTTTATGATTATTACTTACATTTTAAATGCTAAGCACAAAAGTTCTTTGTCTACAATCCTTATCTCTTTTCCTTTTTTTTCTTCTAATTATTATTGTTCTGTAACAGACACTAAAAGCAATAAATAATATCAAAATATGTGTAGATGTTCGATTGTTTTATCAAATATTGACAATACCCTTTCTCGTTTAAACATATACAAAAACCACCCACTATATATACTTTAATCGTTCCATTAACAAATCCTAGCTTTTAATTGTTACACCATTTTGTTCTACAATATTACTACAATTTTTTGATTGACTAATAATAATAATAAGAATAATCCAAACAAAAAAAAAAAAAAAAAAAAAAACAATCGATTTCTTAAATTTAATATAAATCTTTAGTATCGCTTTTGTTGAAATTTCAGTGCAATAATTACTTTTGGTTATCTTTGTGTAGAAGTCTAGGAGACTTTTTAAGCTCAAGTTCCAACAAGATCATAAATGAAATCATGGGAACATAAAGCAGCGTGCATGCAATGTAAAAGCGAAAAGTTATTCTATGTTGGCTACTTTTAATTAATACAATTGTTAGTATTTGTAACGTTTTCCTCATATCAAACTTTTTGTTCGGATGGGAAAATAATTTTTATTTTAAATTTTTTTTTGCGTTTCTTGTAGAAAGTTTGCGATTATCAATATTTAGCTTTTTAAAGCTGGTTGGTGACCATGTTTATATTGCACTTGAAAAAGATTTTATAAATACCTATATAAAGTATAATTAAAACAGAAAAGAAAAAGTAAATTCAGCTAAAAAATTATTTAAAAAAGTAGATAATGACGGAAGTCACTAGGCAAGGCAAAAAGCCAAAATGATTTGCACTTCGCTTCTTTACATGAATGTTTTTTCTTATGATATTGCGCACATTTTTTTCAGATCATTTTCAGTTTCATCGATATCGAGGATACTCAAACCACCGTTATGTATCGCTTTACCTTCTATATTAGGCAAGTAAGGCTCATAATCGAGACCCTTGCGTTCATAAAATAATAAATATGCCGAGCTAGGATCAATATTCGGTTGACTGGAAATTTCCCGACAAGAGCTGTCATTGTAACAATACCAATTGCCATTGGTATTGGCAGCATATGAAACATAATGGCCGCCATTCAACATACCAGAATGCGACTGAAAAAAGCCAATTGTATTAAAATTATATTTAGTCAAACGGCAAAACTATTTTTCACTTACCACCACAGCATACAATCTATATTTAGGATCAAAATTATCTTCGCCCGCCCTTAATTTGTGTTGATGAAAATCTTCGAAAGCTCCATCGATTATAGGCGTCTTCGTAAGACTTGTGGAAATTAAACGTCTTCGTCGAGTCATTGTTTGAGTGTCTTCGATTTCATCGTTGCTTTGTAGATTATTTGCCATCATAGCTGAAACGTTATCAAGCACCTTCTCTTGGCCGTTTTCAATTTTTTGATTATCTTCCACCTTTCTATTAATGGTAATCGAATCGTTAAGGCATCCTACAATATTACTACAATTATCTAAAAGTTGTGTTTGATTTTGTAAATTAATGATATTGTTGACTTGTTCATTATTCACATCCGATAGTTGGCCATGCTTTATAATTAGGTCGCTAATCGAAGCAGATTCGTTGCCGTTAATGTTGCCTTGACTTTCTTGTGCAGTGAGCCCTTCGATAGGAAATTCTTCGTTCGTAGATTCCATTAACTCATTCTCTTCAGGAACAGATTCCGTAACTACTCGTATTTCTTGTAACTCACGATGTCGTAATACAGTTTCTTGAGGCACAGCAGCTAGATATGGCGTAGGATCAAAATTATCGAATGGGAAATGGACCACTTTCTGGGATTTCACCCACTTTCCATTAACACAATTGAAACGTTTCAAGTGCACAATCTATTTGATACACACATACATATAATTTAATATTTATTTATATATATATATATATATATATATATATATATATTTACCAGTATCGGTGGTAGTTTCCATATTTGTAATTTTTTAGTAGCTGGCTTTTTGCCTCTGCAATGGCCGCAGTGATACCATTGCTCTAATTTTTCCTCCGATGTGAAAGCTTTTAAGCAATGATTCAAATCCACAGGCTCAATTTGTTCTTTACGGCATATGGCTACAGTCTCATGATCTATCCAAAGCTACATACATATTCGATGTTATACAAAAAAATAAACTTGTTATGAAACCAATACAAATATATTATTGCGTTTATAGCTCACTCTCTCCAAGGTACATTGATATCTTAAATGTAAAGCCGTTGGATCCCAATCAATAGCAATCGTGAAATTCTCATTATTTTTCGGCACAAGTGATTGCGATTGTACAGAATCTCGATCATAGGTTTTTTTACCTTCTAAATTAGGCATGGAATCTGAATATTTTGTTAGCAGTTTTGGTGTGGAATTGTTACCTAGAATTTGTATTGCGATGCACGAATAAAAAAATAATCAAAAAGAAAATTGCTTTTAATCAATTACTTGTATTCAAATTGCTGTTACTGAATAAAAGGCCTTGTAAAACGTAATCATTGTTACAAGGTATTTCGCAGCCACGGCAAAAGTTCGACCAAGAACATAGTGCGCAAGTTAAACCATCACATTTTACGGCGCGCAAAGAGAAAGGAAAATCATATCCCAGACTGTCGTCACTATAAAAAATCGATAGATTGCGTTCGATAATATCCTAAATAAATAAAAAGGAGATAACCATACCAATCAGCTGCATGATTTGCCTGATCTGTAGATGCTGGCAGGGGGCTTAAGAGACGGCTCACTTGTAGCCACACCGCGCAATACAAATCCTTGTGAGTGCCACCTTCTAAATTTGGTATAATTAACGGTATACCGAATATGCTCGGTCGAGTTTTATGATGGGACAAAAAGTAACTGTCCTGGCGGGTTATTTTACGATGTACAGCCACTAAATATTTACCAACTTTGAAATGTTGTGATGGTACTCGTGAAAACACACCGTTGCCAACATCAGCTATAGAATTAATAGGCGGCAAATAATTTACACTTTCTGGGTGTAAATCGTGCGATATATACTTTTGTTTATCATCATCGTCCACATTGAGCCGACAAGGACAATCGCTCATACGTCTAAAGCTTTCATGTAATTCATCACCGCTAACTACTGCTTCATCATTGCAACTTTCTAGGGAATTTTCTTGGGAATGTATAGATGTTGTTGTTGCTGTTGACTCAGCTTTGCTTAATAACTTTGAGGCGGATATACGTTTTCGTAAAGTGCAATTAACAAATACATCTTCTGGACTGCGGCTTAAATGGGGCGAATGCTGCGAAAGTTACATAATAAGATAAGCAATTAGCAGTAGAAATCTCAGATAGAAAACAGGAAAAGATTATTAAGTTCGCCTTTGGACGAATCTTGCGCACCCACTACATCAGATTTCAACGTTTTTATTAAATTGTTTTTTTTTTTTTTTTTTTTCATTCTTCTTATCTTTCTAACTTTACATTGAAAAGAAAAGTGTTCACATTTCTCCATGAATACATGAAAACGAAGAATAGAATATATTTATCAATATATTGCATAATATCTACTCTCCAATTCATATGTTTGGATATAAGATAGGGTTCCTTCAGACGGCCATCCCTTTTCGTTTATTATTTTGGCGGTTATATGCTTTCATAATTTTTAAAATTATCCGTTTTTTTTTTTTGTCGAAATTTGCGTAGACTAACGTCACGCCAATTTTATCGTCATCGCGATGACAAATGAACAGTTGAACATTATATAGCACACTTCGGATCTTAGCATGCAATTAATGAGACTTCCGTATCAATACGTTAAATAAGAGGGTCGACGAAGAAAAAATGAACTGTCTGTCCAACATGATGATGCGAGTCCGTTAATTAAGAACGCGTTTTCAAAAAAATCGGCAATGCATTCATTGTCTTTAGCTTTCGGACATGTTGTAACATATATTCGACGAAAAATTGACGTTCAGTGAGGGACACCATTGAAGAAGCAAAACCTATATGATGATTTTCATTCTTCAGCAGTGGGTAGAAGAAGTAAAAAAGAAAAAAATATAAATAAAATATAAAAGATCAACGGAAATACAAATGCAGCTGCTTTATATACATTTATATACATTAGCTCATTGTTTTCATATCATATGAGCGCATATTAATATAAGCTTACTTGTGCTTTTATTGAAAAAGTGAAATTTTAATAAATTGAACGAAATCAACTTTTATATTTTGAAGCAAATTTAACAAGTATATATTATAGTATATATATTATATATACATACATATATATATATATATAAAATAATTATAGGAGGACCCACGCATAGATACGAGATTGTGAAACATTAAACTACGTTAAACGAGTTAACTGACAAATAATATTTGATTAAGAAATTATAAAAATTAATAAATTTCAACTGCAACGAAAACCAACTAACTGTTGATTAAACACAACCAATTCCATCTACCTAAGATTTTAAACAAATTTTCAAAAATAAATAACACTTTAAGTAGAGAACGTTTGTTTAAAGTAAGTGCTTCATCATTGAAATAAATATGGAATTTTTAGAAACTAAGCTACGTCTACGTTTATATTGAATAAGTGATAAAAAGTGTTTAGCTAAATTAAAAAGAAAAGTTCCAAGTAAAGCAACAATAACCGAAACACAAGAGTACAATTAACGAAAACCATAAAGAAAACTAACTACTAACGAGTAGCGGGAGCAATTAATAATATTAGGTGTACAAATAAATTTTTTTCCGTTGAAATTGTTTACTTCTGAAGGTACCGCGTTTTTCTGTGTTTTTAATTTGCATTAACTTGGAAGGAATTTCTGCAGCCGACGCTGCCGAAATGACCAAGTTGATTTGGAATCAAAATACAATGAGTTACGAAACGGTTAGAATATAGTTTGCGAAATGTTGAGCAAAAAAATTGTAATCTTGACAACGATTAAAATTCGCAGAGGTCTCTTCGTCTTTCTTTGCAACTTAGATTGAGAAGTTTTACTGCGTTAAATGAGTCATGACACCATAAATAATAATGGTGAATATTTCGATTAAGCTTTATAAGAAGTATATTTTAAATAAAATTGAATTTTATTTATCAACAAAGGGTCAGAATTCATTTGTACGCCTATTAACAATAAAAAATGAAAAAAACGGTTGCAATACGCTACTGAAAGTAAATGGTGTAAAACACTACCAAAACCACTTACTACTTAAACAAATTTATATTTAATATGTAGATAGATGTCTTGATTAAAAAAGAAACGATTTTCGTACTCCTTTCTTTTTACCGTATTCGATACTTTGATGCTTTGTAAAATGTCCACCTGCTAGTTGATTAAGTTACAGTGTACTAATACTATAAGTTAAGTTACATACGTTATTTCATTATTATTTTCTTTTACTAACTCGCACAAAAAAGGTTTTTTTTTTATATTCGCCATCGAAAAAAAAAGACATTCCATATTCGTTATAGGTACTCCATAATCCATACATGGATCCCTGGCAAGTGCAAGGCTTTAAATTTAGATGACCATGTCCGCGAGTTTAGCCTGGGGTCTGTTAATGTGAAAACCTAGATAGCAGAAATTTGGACTTTTTTGAACTTTTTAACTAAAATAAAGTTTTAAAATGGACCAGGTCTGATCGCAGTAAAATCAAATTAAATAAATTCCAGGCTACAGAAAATATTGATGTAAAAGTTAATACACAAACATTTTATCAGCCCATCGAAAGTTTCGGTGCAAAAATAATATCGATCCGCCAATTTATTCATTCATAATTAACAAAAAATTGCAACTTTATTTACTAATTTGAAATAATGAGCATTAGATGCTCGCGCCAAGGCGATTACTCTCTTTATTTGTTATGCTTTACGTCACTTAGTATATTGAGTTAGTGCGTATGTATGCAATATCCAGAAGGATTCCAGATAGATCCATTTTTTAAAACACCGATCGACTCATCATCTTACTTACTGGCTGGCTACTCTGTCTCTCTTGTATTCTTGTGTTCAGCCTAGAGGTCGCAAATTTTTTAGATATTTTGATGAAGCTTGGTAAAGCGATATGTTTTGGCCTAAAACGACAAACGCTATTGAAAATTGGTCGGATCGGGCCACTTTGTCGACCGCTTCTAATATAACGCTTTACTTTAAAGAGTCGTTATATGAATAGTTGTAGGACGCAGTGTAGGGTATTTAATGCGTTTCATTATAGTATTTTTAATTGTTCTATTTGAAGTTTTTGTTGTTTATTAGAAAATTTAATTTAGGGAATCAGGAATATCGGGAGAAATCTGGACAAATATATATTTATTTTTTTTTCCGCGATTAATCCTCGATATCTCCTTCTTTAAGATAATGGAAAGACCAGTTGACCACTCGAAACCAGTTTCGCAATGTACACTACTTTCATAACCGTTTGCTTCAAATTTTAGGTCAGACCTGCCATTATTGTTATGTTATAATTTCTTTAATTAATTTTGGGCGAATTATGTCTATTTTTATTTAAATTTTTCTCAGCGGAAGCGACAGGCGGACGAAGGGTAAATACATGGCTAAATCAATTCCGAATATTAAGCTTGAAAGTTGGAAGGCGTCACAAAAAAAAGCGATTTTTTAACCATTTTGTTGTTTAGAGGTAAACGTAACAAAGTAATAATATTCAAAGAGTTTATTGAGCATATATTTAAATATTAAAAACAAATTGCTATTTTTTATTATATATATGTAGTTGCCTGATCGTAAACTCATAGACAATCTAAAAAAACCATTAAAAAATCACTTAACTGAAATTCCTATAGCCAGTGCAAATTCGTAGATTTTATTTAAAAAATAGTCCTTTTTGTGTAATTGATAAATGTTTGAATGGCAAAAATTCAATTTTTGCCCGAAAAAAAAGTAATATTTTAGTAAGAAAGCATGAAAATTGTTGGCGATAAGCTGCTTGCTTATTAAAAAAATCGTGTTTTGAGGTAAACGGATTTAATTTAATGCTTTGAAATGTGTTATATGTAGATGTTCTTTTTTCGCCCAATGATTCTTTGCCATATTTTTCCCGTTAGTCAGCAATCGCAGAAGCATAAAGTTGTCAAACAAATATCGAACCGAGCTATATCATGCACAAATATTCATGCAAAATAGTAAATATAATGCCCTTCTCATATTGTTATAGTGTCAAGTAAGTAAGTAGTGTCTCACGCAACTTCGCTTCTCGTTTTTTCAAAATGATTTTGTGCACCTTTATTTTTGTGTCTGCAAAAAACTGACGAATTTCGGTGACTAGAGCGTTTAGCACCATCGATATCCATGCGACGACTGTGTTGAAAATTAGCAAACTATCTACAAAATTTACTTTTTTAATAGTCAACAGTCGCCATAATATCTTTCAAGCCGCCGCTAACCGTGACCATATTGTTTTTCATCAACAAGCAACGTCATTAATCAACACACGAAATTTAGGTTTTTCCTTGTCTTGTAAATTAGAAAACGTACGAATTGTAAACTAATGATCGCATTGTCGGGAAATTTTGGCGCGTATCGTTAGATGATCGATACTATCGAGAAATTATATGGGTCTATTAACAATGTTGCCATGTATATATATGTCACATCAGAGACGTTTTGAGTGATGGGATACTTTGCCCTCCCTGAAAAAAGATTGAGCTTGTAATAGGGTGCATCCACTTCATAAATGTAAATACTAGAATTTTTATCGAGACAGGCCATCTCCGGATAAATGATTATGCGGGCAAATTTAAATCAATTTTAGCTGCGTTAGCTCGCTGTCAAATTGTCATTTTTAACAGCTTTTTTGCCAGCAAATGTAATAAATTGCAAATTTTTCCTCATGTAACGTCTGTCCTTTGTCGTGCATAAATCACATATAAATTTACCAAGGTCCACAAATCAGGTTTAAGAATAACTTATTATCGTGCCGTTCGTTAACTGCTAAGAAAGAGAGAATATTTTAAAATAGAATGAATTTTCAATAATTTATACTAAATATTTATTAAAAAATTTGACTAAAATATGCGTATATATAAAGTAAGGGCCACCTAAAGGTTAAATGCAGAAACAGTTCCAACCTGCTACCTGCATTGCCCATAACTTTCATATTTTTACATCCACCAGGGAAGCGATTCAAATTTTTCTATTTATTTTGAAAATTGCATTGTAAAAATTTGATCATTTGTATCACATTAATAATGCATAAGAACCTTAAAAAACAATTCGAACAATATTACTTGTTTAAGAAGGTTGGATTGATCGTGACGCAGTAGCAGTATGTAAACAAAGATATATATATATATATATTTCCATATCGCCAGTAGCTCACCCTCTTGCGGTCAGGAATTCCCTTCCGAACAAAAGTTTTTACCTTCCTTTGTGCTAAAAGCTGAATTAAAAAAAAATGTTTTGAATTTGTGCAGAGGCATCGCAACATAAAGGTGAGTTTTCAATTTTTATAAAGGCTAATTTCCTGCTTTATATTACTGCAATGTTAAAGGGTAACATCATCTTCTTTTGGGATTCTTGCTTTTTTAGCTTAAACAATTCCTAACCTATTGAGAGATAATATAATTATGTGGAAGGCAAGATAATAAATGGTCCAAGACGTTTCTTTCTGAAACATACAACAGTCGCTTTTTCACTGTTTTAAAATTTAATTTCTTTTGATAAAACTTGCTTGTCGGCTTTCGAGCCGTTTCTTCACCAAAAAAAAAAAACGAGATTTTGAGTCCCATTCTTGGGAAATGAGTGGTTACTTTTGTTCGCAGCCCAAGAATTTCACTTTAATCTTAGAGAACTTATGATAGAGCCACAATTTATTATACTGATCGATCCAGAATCATCTTCTGAATCGTTTTAAGCTTGCCTGTTCGTCTAATGTCTATCCATCAGACTACAAGTTGCAATTTTCGAGATTACATTAGTACTTTCTGCCCAAGGATGAACGCTATGGAAAATGAATTACACCACGGCAACATAACGCACCATTGAAAAGAATCTATGCATGAGATGAAATTTCAATTTTTAATTTCCCGACGAAAATCGCTGAGTGATAGAATTTTGGGGTATTGAAAGAAATTATGTGACAAGTTTGGATACGCTGACTTTTTCAATTCCATTCTCTTCAAAAGTGGATCTTTATATGGCAGCAAAGTTCAATTTTTAGTGCTTTGCGATAAAGATAAGTCATAAGATGTCTGACAAAAAAAAAAAAAGAAAAAAATGACAAAGAATTAAAAATAATAAATTTGGACCAGGTTAGTAGACATTGTGGGCCCGCTCTCTTGAGCACGATGCCTTGGTTTTTGTTTAAGTTAGATTGAAAAATGGGTTGGCATCATATGGTCAACGTGTAGGGTAAACACAGAAACGCGTTATAGGCGCCGTATCGAGAGGATTGTGATTATATTAAATAAAATCTAACCATAGTTTATATACGAATAAAATCTATTGATAATGCTCGCGTCCTAAGACTATGCGATACCATCATTTTCTATAATCAAAACGCGGACAAGTTATATTTGATATTAGAGCAATGTGAAATCGAAATATTAATAAATATTGTCATTTTACTTTTAAAAATATATTTAGGAAAATAACACTATTCTTAGTCACCACAGAGTTATATTAGTCTTAACAGAAAATTTCTCTTAGGGGCAAAGCATCTCCTTTCCGTAGCACTGGACTGGTAAAACTATTGAAATTTACGTAAAATTCTCTTTTATATACATGACTTATATACCCTATGAAGTACAAGGATATATTAACTTAGCGCAGTTGTATGTAACACCCAGAAGCACTTGAAATAGACCCATGTTTTATTATACCGACCGAACCAGAAACACTATCTGAATCGATCTAAGCTTGTCTGTCTTGTATTCTGGTGGTGAGCTTACAAGTTGCAATATTTGTGATGTTTTAGTCCAAGGACGAAAGCCATTAAAAATGGTTTGGATCGGAGCACTTTTTCAATCGCTTCCAGTATAACATCTTATTTCAAAGAATTGTTATATTAATAACTCTAGAATGGTGGAGGATATTTAATGGTGGGCAGTGGCACACTATAATGTATTTATTTGTTGTTTCTTCAATTCTTAATTACTTGTCAAAAATTTTCCCAACAATTTTTAAAGTACAATTTATTGTAAAGAAAGAATATTTCGAAACTTGGACTTTGTCCAGGTATTTGTAGCACAATTACCGTCAAACTTAATTTTTTATTATGACAGAAAGTCTATTTTCAACGTATAAGAGGAACAAATATTGATTAATAAGAAGCGAAAGCTGCGCTTATTGCCACGAATACATATATATAGCTATATTTTGTGTAAGAAAAACTGGCCTGTGATTAACAAACTTAATAGTTTTGCCCTATTAGGTATGCCGCTTACTGTCGCGCTCTCTTTTGAATAGATAACCCTACTCACAAAAATGATCCATATAAACATCTACAATTTTCTAAATATCTTGAAGGTATGCACATTTGTATGTCCGACCATATTGAAGCAAATACCATACTTGCGGTGAGTTCTTCTTAAAAAGAAACTGCTCTGCCCTTAGTGACACAAAAAAACCTGCAAAGCATTATGCATTTCTCAAACATATGAAGCTTTCAATGTTCTTTCTTGTTACCTGAAGACTAATTGAACTAATCTAGTACATTAAAAGAAAATGAAGAAGAGATAATAACTATAATATCTTCCAAAATCTTAGTCTTCACCTACTCTACTCCTTTAGATTGCTACTTATTCCGTCAAATGATACATTTTTTTTTAGAAAAATGGGGAGAGTTAAAAAAAAAAAAAAACTACATCTGTAAATATTGAAGGCTATCTGTCTTTGGCAACCGTCATAAAAGTTGGTGAAGAAAAATTTCCAATGAAGCGTATTGCTTTGAATAATTCATTTTTGATGTTTTACTTTACATTTTCTGACTTTGTGGTTGCAACATTCTCATTATTAAGCAGAATGCTCAGTATATGACGCTACACTAGATTGGATTGTTCAACAATAAGAGGGATAACGTGCATCCTGTTTTAACATACGGCAGATATTGCATCACTAAGTCGTACACAAACTTTGTTTTTTACATTAAAAAAAAGAAAAGGATATATAAGTTTATAATTGACAATATTAGAATATAGATATGGTCTACAATATTAAATATAAAATGTTTAATTTTAAATTATTTTATAGCCATACCTTGAAGCACAAAAGATTCTGTGGCATGCACATAGTGTTTCCAAAGCACCGCCTTACCTTCGTTGGTACCTGCACATCTTCGTCTTCTTCATCTTCATCATCTGCAGCAATACAAATAGTATTTGGCACACTATTTAGTTTGTTTTGATAACACTTAGTTGGTATAGATGCTATCGTGGTTACTGCTGTTGTATCAACTGGCAGTGACTCGTCATCGTCAACATTCAAAGGAGGGATGACGTTATGTTTATCATTAGCATTTATTGCTGTTGTTGTTAATGTACAGTTATTCGCATTTGTAACATTGGAGGCGTTGTTAATATTATTGTTATTGATATTATTATTATTGTTATTGGTAGCGGTGGTGAGCATATTCAAAGAAGGATAAAAATCTTGTGTAGTCAAAATAACTAAAATATTAACAAAATATTTGCACATAAGTTATTCTGATACACTCACTGGATTGCAGCTACAAAATATTACCTGAATTCCTTTGTATGTCCTTAAGACCTTTTTCTATATTAACAGCCAATGTCGAGCTGGATCTTGAACGATCCGAACTTTCCTCTGGCAGTTGGTAAACGTAAAGTTCTTTGGCTGAAGAAGATCGTATTTTTTCGTCATCCGAGAATACGTGCCTTATTTGTGAATTCCAAACTTCACAAATTAACATGAAGTTAGGATTTAGATGGCAATATGGGGCAAGTTGTCGTTTCACGTCAAAATATTTAGATTCTGAATTCAAACGTAAACCATACTTAGTGGGTATAGAACCATCTAAAAGCATAACTTAAAAGCAAAGAATACCCTTTAGCATTTCTCATCTCTTTGTTTTTTTTTTACTTACACACCTAGCACTTCAAAGTAAATGTAATTTTCTACAGGCAAAGGCAAACTGAGTAGACTGAAGGGATCAAAGCGCACGGATTCGCGACCGCAACACAAACAACTGACTTTGGATTTCAATTGACCATAGAACAAATCAATAATTATTGATTGATTGCGTGCGTGATGCTGTGCCCAGGCCTCGGCAGCAACAATTTTATCTGGTCTACCATTGGAATCTCGAAGTTCGCTGTACGGTTTATCCATAACACGGTTTAAGTCCTCATGTAAAGCATCTAAAAACCATTCAAGTAATTCCTGGGAGTCGTGCTGTCCACCTCCGGCAAACTGGGGCGCATGCTTGGTAACGCAAAATCGCAATTTCAGAGGTGCCACAGATCTAGTGGTAGCACTCCAAACTTCTTTTAACAGTTCTCCATAACGCGTGGCTAAATGGCCACGCGTTCCCAACTTATTTGTAGTATTTAATTCAAACATATGCATGTTCCGACGGAAGTACTGCGCCAACGGTTGAGTGTTGAATAAAACTTGCAAAGCAGCATTCATAAAGCAAGTATTTCCTAAGTTATGCAAACCGGTTGCACCAGGCACCTGTACGGACATAATTGAGGTACGTGTAAGGCGGCGATCATTAATTATGCTATTACCACCCGACTGAGTTAGGGTTAGTGATCCTAATTCTTCGGGCCAAGTTTGATCTTTATTCCGTATTTCCAAAAGTACTTGATCGTTATCTTTAATTAAAAGTTCTTTCAACATCATGCTGTCCTCTTCCAACAGAATAGCACTATTGTCGAGAGAGCCTTGAGGTATATGCCACAAACGTACGTCTTCCGTTCGTAAACGCAATTGTTCACATAGAAACGTGCCTACCTGTTGCACTGTAGCTAATCGACTGAAAGCAGCTGTGTAGGCCAAATAGCGTTTAGGTGGCTGCAAAACACTGGAGGCCGAAATAGCAGCAAAACCGCCACTTGTAGCCATAACACCATAACCTCCTATAAACAAAAATTTAACATCCTTATCCAAATGGAATACACGAACAAAAAAAAATAATTAAATTTTTTTAGTATTATTTTTACCTGACACCGATCCCCAATTATTGACCGATTGATTTTGCGGTATGTTTTGGTGTAATAATATTCTTAAATGTAAGGGATATAATTCCAATTCAACATCAGGCGAATTAGGTGGTTGTATGACCTGGATGATTACGCATAGTAACGAAGAAAACTTTTGTTTTATTATATTATATTATACCAACCTGTCGGGGCAACGGCAAATTGTCGCCATACCAACGATTCAAGGCTTTCCATAAAGATTTGGGTACTAATTCAAAGTCATGATTTTGTACTAAAGGACAATCTTTCTTCAAATGGCCACCTTCACCAGTAAGTGTGCGCACATTTTTATACTGGTTTGGTGTTACTAGACTCATGTTATCTATGGGGCCAGGACGAGAGCCTAAATGTCGACCAGTAGAAATGCCACTGCTTGCGGATCCTGAAAATAAAACAGAGAATTTCTTGCGCTTTGAGTACTTAAGGCTTTTATATAAGTTTTCGTACCCAAGCTGCAATTATCAGCTATTATAATTTGGTCACCAACAGACTCCAAAGAATTAGTGTTGAAACTTTCGTCGCATACTAAAGCCTCATCTATGCCGCAATTAAAATTTGAACCACGTTGGCCAGCGTTCGACCGTTTGCAATAATCGCAATAGTTGGTGGTATTGCTTGTATATTGCAACCAATTCAACCACCAATCACGTGATACCAAATACCAAAATTGACCGACACGGTATTTCCGTTTTTCCTCTCGTTCAAGCCAACCACGCACTAAAACAATTCACAAAATTATATACTTATCCAAATTTTTTATATCTACCACCTCTACGTCAAGAAAACAAAAAAAAAACGAAAATTAAAAGTTTATAGGGCCTTTTAGGATGTTGAGAACATTTTGAAAAAAAAAATTAAAGTTAGAATAGAACGTGGCCGATTTATTTCCCTTTTTATACACCTTCGACGAAAAATCAAATTTCTTTAGCCTTTGAAAGTGAAGATGCTCTCAGTTTATATTACAATGCAGACGTTATTCTTACGTTATACTGTTTCCTGACCGATTCGGTCTTCTCTCGATGCCACCCAGTCTACGTGGACTTATTAATTCTTGCGAACGGACGATTGCTTACTATACCCGTTCACACAAAGTGACGAAGTCGATTGGTCTAAGTCAATTCAAACTTTGATACACATGAAGAATTTATAAGGTCCTATGGGTATTACAAACGTTTGTATTGGCAAAATAAATATATTTCCACCCTTTGGTGGTCAGTATAGAAAAGAGGTTGATATAAAAATGATTTGCATTTTCCCTACCTATATCACACTCCATGTGGCGGCATTGAGGCCACAGACCAAACACAATATGACACACTTCGAATATCAAATCCAAGAATGGTTGCAACAACTTCAAATTGCTTTCCACATTCCACATCATAAAGTCCTCGGCTGTTAAACTGACATTGAATTCATTCACTGAATTTTTTTCCTCGTTTATCTGAGAATTAGAAATTGAATACAAAGATCCCTCTTTCTTGCGACTTATTACATAGAACTTGTTTACCTCGGTTTGAGGCTGTTGTCCACTGTTTTTGACCGCAAAATTTGCAATATCTTTTAAAGCTTCTTCCCTGTTTACATCTTTGTACATATCGTCGTTTCGATTTTCTTTGGCTACGAATAACAGAACATTAATCATTTGCAATGTTTCCTTGCAGTTTAAAACACCGTCGCGGTCTACATCAAATATTTTAAAACAGACTGAAAAAATAGATAAAACAAATAATAAACGAAAGTCGTTAAAGCCCTCATATAATAAGTCTTCTCAGGCTTACATCTTGTTCTCTCTACACTTGGGCCACGACAAGCTGCACTAACGCCACAGCACAATTCTTTAAAATCAATGTGACCATCCCAATTTTCATCAAATGAATTAAACAAGCCCAGTAGAGCATTTTTCGGTATTGGAGGACTGAGCAAAGGCCCTATAAGCTGTAAATCTAATTGGCCGTTGGGAGATGAGTTCTTCAAGCGCCAAAACTCTTTCTCTAAATCGCCAATATCCTAAAACCAATAAAGAAATGGTTATAAAGCACGATTATATTACCAATTATAAAATAACTTTTTCTTCCAAATGTGTCACTCCTGCTAAACTTTGATAGAATGTTGGCGTTTCCAACTCTGAAGTTAAGCTTATGCAATTATCGGATAATAGCCATTTGGCCAGAACTGTAGAGTTTCGATTTCTTAAAATCCAAGCTTCGAATTGCTCAAAATTTATACGATCAGCCTGGGCGAATAGTGAGGCACTTTCATGTAGATGCAAATTAATAGCTTTGCAAAAATCGATCTTCAGTATATATGAACCAGAGTCGTTACAATATAGATTCCATAAAAATCTACATTCAAAAGTGAAAAACAAATAAGCATATTAAATAATACTATTTTTGTTGTACTATAATTACGTACTTTGTTTTTTCTTCTTCAGTTCCCCTAGTTATCAATACTAAGCCGCAAAGTAAATCTTTGAAAGAAATTCCTTTCGATGTACCGCCACACGCGGTGTATAATAAATCTGTCACATTAGCCGGCACGCCTTCGCATAGGACGTCTTGTTGGAATGCATTACGGCTCAGGTACAAACGACCAACACCAGCTGATTTTTTAAAAGCATCTTTTAGACGTCTGAATTCAGCTTCTGATACTATAGGGAATATTAATAATAATAGCAGCATTAAACAATGAGTCACTTTTGTTTTTCATAATTAATTTTAATTGTAAAAAATCATTGCGCCATATTGTGCGATTTATGTCAATACAAATAAAAAAGTTTACAAGACATAAATAAAACATAGCGCGCATCTTTTAAGTTCCTATTTCCCCCACGATGCTTAACGTTCCAAATGTAATGTGCTCATTCTTCACTTTATTTAAATTAATCGAAAATTCCTGTAAAACTGTATTCTAAGCAATCTCAGAGAGGCATAAAAAAGCGAAAGAAAATTAACGCTATTAATTAATAAAGACATAAAGCTAGATGCGTATTAACTTAGCTAATCTCTCTCGTACACGAAATAAGAAAATATACTTTTCAAACGTCTCTAAACAGTACAAAATAAAAAAAGTAAATAAATAAGAGGAAAAAAAAAAAAAAGAAAACATAAATAAATAAAGGAAAACAATTGTTAAATAAAACGAGAAAAGGGGAAAAATGAAAAACAACAAACAAGTGCATTTTTGTGACGTCACACTTGCAATGGACAAAAGAAAAATTTATAGAAATTTTTAAGTTAAAATCGCAAAAACATGAACACATTGTTTGCAAATCACCAAAAAAGTTTTTTCTAAATAATTTTTTGCACTCAAATCGTTTTATTGTCTGTCTACTTTTTAATCACTCTATAATCGATTTCTTTATTATGCACATATGTTTTTTTTTTCTGTTAAAACACTTGCCTCTTTTAATTGCATCTTCGTAATTAATGCACGATTGTTTGGATTCCTTTGCACCCATTATTAGGCGTCATCAACACTAGCGATGGACTTATAGATAATTCACATAAATCTCCGGATAATTTTCTGCCCTACCGAGCAGTGTTCATACACCTATTGACGTACTACGTCTATTTTTCTTTTCCTCTACTTGTATTCCCGTTGGCGTGCTCAATTATAAATACACGCATAGAGCGAGAATCATCATAATTTCATGTATAATTGTAACTATTTTGTAAATTTACGGTATTGGTAAAAAATTCTCTTTTTATAAACTCATTTTACTTTCGTTAATCAAAACAACTTTGAAAATGCGAAAAATTCTTTATAAGAAAATTCTTGTGAATTTTTTTACTGCACACTAATTAGTATTGCCATGAGAAATTATTTATCCTATTCTGCAGATATTGATGATTTTATTGTGGCTGATATTATTTTTATTGTAATTGGTCTCGCGATATGATGTCTATTGAAATTGACTATTGTTCCAACGGCAATAACGTTAATGTTGGTCCATGTGATTTAAAAAGAAAAGGCATTTTCGTCTCTTGTTATATGCTTCTCTCTCCTATTTTCCTTGCTTGTGTTGCTTTCCATTTGATGGAAAGACAATTCGTTTTGTATTTTAAAAGTGTTGTCTTCGTGTCCCTTACACGTTGTCTCCTTAGAAACTACGAAATTATATTGAAATTTTAACATTATCCCGAAGATAGATCATTCAGATAGTTAAGCGAAATGACATTGTCTTTCAAGCTTGATCTGTGAACATCGACACAATAAACACTTGAATAATTGTCTCACGATTCGATCAAAAATTAACTGGTTACAAGGACCGTACGTTGTTGTTGAATAAAATTTTTCACAAGTACCAAGTATTGAAAAGAAAAAGAAGATAAGAGTGTTATTTTAAAATGCTTGTAATGTAAATAAATGAAGGCATCGCTAGATAAAATAGTTTATGTAAATTTGTATTTCCCCCGAAATTCCTTTAAAACTTTAAAATTTAAAATTGCTGCTATTTTCTTGCATTGCGTGATACTCTTTTATATAATAGTGGTAAATAAAAAATTTCATTGAAAATTTCTTGCTTTTCTCTATGCACCGAACTTGATGCAAAGCGTGTAGGATTTTCTCGTATTCATTATTTTATTTTCGGCATTCATCCGCTCAGTTCATTTTACGGCACATTTATTTGTTTAGATATCTTTCCTTCCATTATAGGCAAAGACATTTACGGACGTTAGTCCTCAGGTTACCCACTAGTGCATTTAAGCGATAACTAATTGAAATTTTGTGCAGTGTGAACTGTCATCCGAATATTTCTTTGACAGAAGGAATATTTATTCACGCCCAAGAAAGTGTTTACATTATAATAAAGTGTTTTCCGGACGAAATCAGATTTATTGTATCGACTTCGACAGTCAAATCTTTTTGGCATAGTCCAACTCCACTCAACAAACAAAAAAAAGAAAAGTCAAATCTATAGACAAATAAATATTTTTTCGCGGAAGATTTAAAATTATTATTATTATT